TAACGTCTCCGATGATGAAGATGGCTTGACGTTTCTTCGTTTGGCCTTCCTGCTTCTCACGGTCTCTAATTTTTCATCCGACGAGTCGTCGCCAGAGGCCGAGTATAGTTCCGTGTCCTCGCTGGCGCTCGAACAGGTGCTTCGTTTCCGTGACAAGTTTGCGTAAGTTAATTTTTGGTTGTTCAGCGCCTTAGAAAGAGCCGCGTCCATAGCCATTGCGCAGTGGCCATCAGTATTTTTGGGCAAGGTGCGCTGATCAAACGAGCAGCTGGCCATGGCAGACCTGTGACTGGGCGGGCCGGTGGAACACTCCGCGTCCGTCGCCCTGGGATGGGGAAGCAGCGCCTCCCGGAAAAAGCGAAAACTCGATGAAATTGCTAGGAGCAGAAAGCAGAAGCGTTCTATGAAGAGACACTTCGTCGTCCCACATGCGGTGAAATTACTTCATCACAAATGGCACTAAAAAAGGGTTGCCTGGCTTGACCAAGATGAAAAAAAAATTTAGCTTTACCCGAGGCCGTCACCTAGGCCGGGGTGCTTGTAGCCCCACCCCGCTCAATGACGCCGGACATGGTCAATAAAGTTTTTACTCACTCACTCACTTTAGACAGGCGCAAGGATCAGTAGTTTACATTGAGGCAAAATACACAGGCTGATGGGAGGGGGGTGGTCTTTCTATTAATTTAAGGCATGGGGCGCACTTTTTTGTTTCCCCCTGCCACGTGACTAGAGGGCGGCCCTTTGACTCCCCTCCCGTAATTATACCTATGGTGATTATCAGGCCTCGTGTCTTCAGACTTCGTTTGTGTGCGCGTTGGTGGTGGAGTTATCAATATCATTACCGTGCACACACTGGATAGCGTCCCCGTAATTTCATTTGTGTATTTATTTTCCCCAACTTCCAATCTGTGTGCGGCCATCGTTCGTAAACGAAACGCCATCGACCGTTTCATGCTGGCTCCGCAAAAAGTCGTTTCGTGTTACTACGACTTGTACGAGTCGTTTCTGCATTATCGCGGAGTCCACAAGGCGTGTACACATACGCATGCACGCGCGGATTGCTGCAGCGGCAGGTGCCTTTCATGTAAGGGTGGAAGATAAGCAGAAAATGCGTGGAACGTGCGAACTGAAAGCTTTTGCTGCACTTTGAAAAATTCACAGGACACGTGTGACATTTGGCAAAAGCTACGTATACTTGGCCGTAGTCGCTTTATGAAAGTCCGTGCTGTCCTCTTCTTTTCGCCGCGCCTCTTTTTAAAAGATTACATGAACCGGCATGACAGCCTGTCGGACAGGCGCAGAAGGCCTGCTTTTCTGCAACTTGAGTCTATTCTTTAGTTTTGCCGCATCCCTTGGCACTGGCGTGCAGCGGGACCTTCGCAGCACTTCCGTGTTATTTAGGCATGCGAAAGAATGGGGCGGGACTGTCCGAACGTCCCTTTCAAAAGCGCTTTTGCTTGCCGAGAAAGTGAACATGTCGTACGCCGTCGCTAAAATACCCGTGGACGTTTTACTGCTTGTTTGCCAACGTGTGTCGGTGCGTGGTGCATGCGTTGACATACTCATTACGATTGCAGATCGGGCATGCTGCATGTTCGTGTTTAGAGGAACTGCCTCGAGTTTGTTTTATATACTCGTCCCCGTTGTTACGCCGTGCTTTGCGCCAGCGTGGGACGGGCTGTTGGGAATTACGCGTTAAATATCGAAGCTCGACGTGCGAGTTCATTTCCGGAAATAGCTGCTGAGTTCCGGCTTGCCAAGCTTTGCACACGCGACTTGACAAAGCTTCGAGCATGATGTTTCACTGGCAAATTCCGCTTATTTGTAGCAAACTCTGATAGGCTGGGTACAGTGGCACTATGAAAGTTGGTGTATACAGTGGCACTATTAAACAGGTAAGCGCACGAAAACGACACAGGGAGTTCGTGTCGTTTTCTTGTTCCCGTCTTTATGCGGTCACTGGTTTCACAATCTCCAATTCTGAACTCGCAAATGTGTCTCAGTGGAAAGGGGGCAATTACTGTCGATGCACTAATATATCATTAAAGATATAATTTTCTCGACTCCTAACATCCCGGCCACGGCGGGGGCTTTTCGGCGCTGGCTAAACGCTATGCGTCCACGTATACAAAGAATTAGGTTCACCTTAAAGAACACAGCTTGGTCAAAATTTTAGGAGCCCTCATAATGACAACGGCGTCCCTCATAAATATGTCTTAGTTTTGCAACGTAAAACGACGCATATTTTTTTATTACTGACATAATTTTTAAAGTTTAAACATGGTTGTGTCGTATCTACTTCTTAAACCATCTTGTTTCTTGCTTTCATTTTTGTTCGCGAGTAAAAAAAACTGTTATGGGCTTGATAAGTGCGTCGGCGGTGGCAAGGCGTCCTCGCCTATAATTCTTGCGGAGCTTCAAATGCCAAGCGGGCACTTCGAATGATGCTGCCTTCTCATAGATGTTGCTTGCCGCATGTATTATATACCGCACGAAGACGATGCCGTGTGCCTGGCCTTAAAGAACATATATATTGGTAAGATCAGTACACTCTATACAAAATGCTACTCTCGCAGTAAACGAGTTCAACGCGGCGAGAATATGTTGACTTTGATAGAGAAGTTCTTTTTTTCTTCTTTAGGCGGGAGGGGGGGGGGGGGGGTCTGTAATCATGAGAAAAATCTTATCGCAGTATCCAGCAAATAGGAGCCACCATTTAGGATCGTTTGTACATTCTGCTAAAAGATTACAGAAACTCTAATCCTATTTGCGACTGGCGATCTCTCCTAACTAACGATAGCTTAGCTGATTAAAGCTGCGTTTTTTTTTCTACTCTCGATCGGTCGTAATCAGCGACGAAAAAAAAAAAAGAAAGATTTACTATCCATAGATCTTTTCACTCTATAGCAAAAAAAGTTCCGGCAGGCTTTTTAGCTCTTTAGTCGCTGGAGTGACTGCGACGAAGAAGTATGTCGAAAGCTCCGGGGCCCGGACGCCGCGCTGCGTCTTTCTTTCACTCGTCAGGCCTGTGGAAGAAGGTAAAGGTGGGAAAGTTACTCAAATTATTTGCCGTTTTCCGTAGTTTACGTTAGTCATGTGGTAATCACTTTCAAGGGCAAGAAAATGGTGTCGCTTTTAGGTATACAGCTTGTTTTTTTTTCTTTGAGAGAACATGGATTTGCTGAAGGGTTTATATATATATATATATATATATATATATATATATATATATATATATATATATATATATATATATATATATATATATATATATATATATATATATATATATAGGGCTCCCGTCGAAACGTCGGCTACATAAACAGTTGGTATGTGAAAGCTTATCTACTTTCATAGTTTATATATTAGTGAAGTGAGAATAACTCTGTGAGAAGTGTTACATCATCAGCCTGACTACGTCCACTGCAGGACAAAGGCATCTTCCATGTTGCGCCAGTTAACCCGGTCCTGTGCTTGCTGCCGCCAATTTATACCCGCAAACTTCTTAATCTCATCTGCCCACCTAACCTTCTGTCTCCCCCGAACCCGTTTCCCTTCCTGGGAATCTAGTTAGTTACCCTTAATGACCAGCGGTTATCCTGACAAATAGATTGCCACTATCCCTCAAGAAGAAGGTATATAACAGCTGTATCTTGCTGGTACTTAGCTACGGAGCAGAAACCTGGAGGCTTACAAAGAGGGTTCAGCTTAAATTGAGGACGACGCAGCGAACAATGGAAAGAAAAATGGTAGGTGTAACCTTAAGAGACAGGAAGAGAGCAGAGTGGATTAGGGGACAAACGGGGGTTAAGAATATCATAGTTGAAATAAAGAAGAGGAAATGGACATGGGCCGGGTATGTAGCGCGTAGAGAACAGTTACAACGGAAGCCAAAAGCGTTTATTTCAACAGTTTTGGCCAGACTCTCGCCCCGCCGCGGTGGTCTAGTGGCCAAGGTACTCGGCTGCTGACCCGCAAATCACAAGATCGAATCCTGGCTGCGGCTTCATTTTTGGTGGAGGCATAAAATGCTGTAGGCCCGTGTTCTCAGAGTTCGGTTCACGATAAAGAACCCCCACGTAGTCGAAATTTCCGCAGCCCTCCACTACAGTGTCTCTCATAATCAAATGGTAGTTTCGGGACGTTAAACCTTACACATCAATCAAATCAGTTCGACCAGATCATGGCAGAAACTTCCCCTATACTTCCTTGGCATTATTGTTACCAGACTTCCCCTATTGTACTTGTTATTAATTGATTGATATGTGCGGTTTAACGTCCCAAAACCACTATATGATTATGAGAGACGCCGTAGTGGAGGGCTCCGGAAATTTAGACCACCTGGGGTTCTTTAACGTGCACCCAAATCTGAGCGCACGGGCCTACAACATTTCCGCCTCCATCGAAAATGCAGCCGCCGCAGCCGGGATTCCAACCCGCGCCCTGCGGGTCAGCAGCCGAGTACCTTAGCCACTAGACCACCGCGGCGGGGCTGTACTTGTTATTAGAGGACCACTGTGCACTCGTGCGTGAGTAGCTCAGAGGCCTTCAGGATGACCACGAGCGGAAAAGATGATTGATTAAACGTGCGTGGAAGGTTGTCGTGGGACGTCGCAATCAAAAATATCTGGCCGTGAATTGCCCGCCAGTGGCGTTTATTGAGACAACGTGATATAAGTGGGGATGACTGAAGGGAAGGCATTTCGTTTGGAGTTGAAGTTGGTTGTTTAGGGTGTCGCCAATTCGTATTGTCGATCACAAGCGTGCGCAAAGTTTCCACTTTGGAGGGCAGCGAATGTTCGTCAAAGCACTCCCCCCACCCTTCCTTCACCATTAAGCCAGTGCATGGAGCAAACTAGATGACTAGAGAAGCTGCCGCCCTTCTGCACCCCCCTCCCCCCCCCCCGGTGGTCGCGCCTATGTTGTTATTGTTGGTGACAATAACTACTTTTTTGTGTTGTTGACGTTTGTGATTATTATTATTTTTGTTTTGACGGCAGGGCGTCGTGTGCACTCTGCACGAGGGAGACGACTTCGGCAAGCTGGCGCTCGTCAACGATGCACCACGGTAAGGAATTCACAGTGTGCAAAAGCATTTCTCTGTTTCTTCCACATTTTCACGCGCGATCGAAAACACTGCTATGTCGCACCAGTCCGGACTACCACTGTACTATTTGCGGTTAGAAGTTGTGAAGTATTGGTATACAGAGACTAAAAAACATGGTGGGAAAGGGGGCAGCAAGCGGTTTTGGTGCAACCAAGGTTTCTGATTGTGCTCAAGATTAAGATGGTGTAGTAACTGACCGAGAAAACGCACGAGAGATGTTTCGTAGTTCGCGCGCATGTCTTGATCACACTCTCAAGTAATAGTACAAAGTTAGTCAGTTTAGTGCAACCGGTTTGGTACCCTAGACATGGGAACTTGATGGGAAATATTCAAATATAGGGAGGAAAGAGAGAGAGACTGTGATCAAAACATTTTTGCTGGTTCCTAAATGTATCTCGTGTGTTGTTCACGATTACTTGGTCAGTGGCCGCAATTTCTTCATTAAATGTTTTTCATTGTTGCGAACCCCGTACGCGGGAGACGATCACTTCTTAAATTGATAGCTTCAGTACTTTCACCTTTTTAAGCACCGCGGCGAGATTTCCGGCTGCAAATTCCTGGTGAACAGTAGTGAATGATATTGCTAATACAATCAAGAAAAGCTTCATCGGTGATTTTCGTTTTCTACCTCTAGCCCTTTTTATGGCATCGCTTAGCGTAGAAATACGACGTTGTGACACTTGGGGACACTTTGAGCTCTGGGGAAGGGTCAACATTTTCAAACATAACGTTACAATCGTACGTTTAGCATACTTCGGATAAACTTAATTCATACTGATACGAATTTACTTGCTTTGTATACGGTGAGACACATCTCAATTCAGGAAGCGTACGCAAATTTAGGTATTTCAACTTAGTTTGTGTATGTTTAGTAGCTCTTGATCAGCGTGCTACTTGCCTGCTGTGTTTACCCTATAACTCGACCTGTATCTTATTTGTTACATTGAACAGAACGCAAGCTGCTGGAGCTTGATGAGAAAGGAGGAATCGCATTTTAACGCATCATAATATAGTTACAGTGAGTTCCACATTATGTCCAAGTAACAACTAATTAAGCCATCTGATACTCTTTAGGTTATGCCTCAAAGAACGCTTAATTCATTTCACGCTTCAAGTGAACTCCAGGAATAGGAAATACGGGCAGTGTTTTTACGATTTTCTTAAGGCGTAATATGTGCCATTGCAAGGTTAAACTTTCTTTCTCTAATTTTTGCTTACAAAATTTCAATATTGTTTCGGCCTTGTCTACCCGTTTTGTTGTCTGCGTGAACGAATGTTTCACTCGGTAAACTTGACTGCGTTTTTGTTATCTTTGTTGTACCGTTGCCAGAGTCACAATGTAAAGGTGATATTCGTTACTGACTCGGTTTTCGTTCCGCCCTTGTTCCTTTCCCCCTCTTTTACCTTCTCCTTTCTCTCTTTCTTTCTTTTTTTCTCCCCTCGTATTCCTGCTTTACTTCCCGACGCCTCCGCAGCGCGGCGACCATAACGACTCGCGAAGACAACTGCCACTTTCTGCGCGTCGACAAGGAAGACTTCAACCGCATCCTGAGGGTGAGTGCTTCGACGCTGCCAGCGCTGCGCCCGTCGGTCGGTCGGCTTGTGTGCGTGCGATGTCTGACCGATTCGCATGGCTGGCTTGCCATGTAGGCCTCGGCTTTGTCCCCGGCCAAACAGAGCGCGAGCGCCGAGGCTATAGCCGTGTCGATGGGGCACTCAAATCTCGCCGAGCTTAACCGCTCGCTGCGTTTCGCTGGCTGCTCAGGCAGTGACGATGGACGCACGCTTTATGTAGGCCGAGTGGGCACGAGGAAATGCAGATTTCGTGAAAAAAACTAAAAGAAAAAAACATTTCGAAGTTGAAACGGTAAAACAAACAAAAATTGTAACTCAGTGTACTGTGCGAAGGTTGATGACCGGCGATGCGGTCTAGCACATGAGAAAAAGGTGAAACATGATTTCGCTGAAAGGTGCTAACTCATTTATTGTCTTGATAACGGATCATTGCCGCGAAAGGTTACGCACATACATTATTATCTTGAACTTTGGTCGTGTACGGCGTTGATCTGCGGGTCATTATTGTTTGACGGTGATGTAGGTGACAAAGGCCTTGTGGTCGCCATAGTATACACTGGCCGCTTGGTGTACACACGTTCGCAGCCGGTATATATTCTGTGCGCGACCGGAGCTGAACGGTGGAGTTTTACCTACGGGCGCGGAACATGAAATTGATGTTGAATTTTTTATTAATTTTTTTGTGCTTAGGGAGAATACACGAGACACTCCAGCTTTGCGGTAACGCATGTAGCTGATAGATATATTATCACGTTGCTCCAGGGAGAACTCAATGCAGGGCCAGGACAACCGCGGCTGAAAAAATGATAAATAAAAAAATTCATAAGAAGAAGCTGTTATCTTTCACTGAAATATCGGAAATATAGGTTGAAAGAATGAAAGTCGCTGGTGCGAATTGCAGCAAAATCTGATGGCAGGCATATGCGGGATTTCAAGAGGGGGATACAAGGCTATGTGAAACATAGTCAACGCAATATTAGCCGTGTTTACAATGAGTGGTGGTGGTCTACACAAACGCAAAGAAGGCAAATGAAACGCACTCATGGACGTTTATAGAATACAGCGTGTTTAAAACGTCGTAGGAGGTCTATATACGACACCTTGCCGATTGGTTTAACGCAGGCCACGGTTCAATGAATATCTATAAATGAAAAACGTTTACCCTGAAGTGCATTTCAGTTACAGTCGGTGATGGCGAGGCAACGCAGCAAACGTGGCAGCTGTCACTTTTGACATATTTGGCAATACACCCGTGCATGGTCGGCCGTACCTGGATTTTTGGCACAATTTCGTTCTTGAGGAATGACAATAACGTGGCCTACTAACTATAGGGGTGCTGAAGTATATACAGATGATACGCGTGACTGGCTTTTACGAACGCGGTCGACCGCGAAAACGAACATGCGGGGATACCACGCCTTCTAGGCCTCGGGAGAGCCATGAGGCTGATTTGATGTTTTTCTCGGCCGTTTAACGCGATTACGTCTCAACTCGTCGACTTTGCGGATTGACAGTTTCTCTCGTGTTTCAATAGATTACGTCAGAGAAGCAGTGAAGTACTATTGTTCACGCTCGCCTCGGAAGTGATACAGTATTGTTTTTACTTTTAAAACAAGCACGCTGGCAACTAAGTATGGTTTTTCATTTTAACAGATCATGCTATGAACTAAGCACAGTAAGTAGAAGACTGCGAGGAGCGACGCAGTGATAGGCAGTTTTAGAATAGATTACGCAAATATATATTTTTCGTTGCGGACGTACGCTATTTTCGTCCCTTAACGTGGGTGCCCAAGAGGATAGCGTATATGACGCGTGCGCAGTGGTGGCAAACTCTAAACAAATAGCTTTGCGTAGCCTTTTCTAAACTTCCCCATTCTTTGCGTCAGTTTTACGAGATTGCCGATGACGTACGGCGTAGCACGCGGCTCAATCTTCTCCGTCATTCATAGCTGTTACGTGATAGCTTTGAAATAGGTGTCAGGGGAAAGGAAAACCAGTGCAGTCTAGAAAGTTGGTGTGTTGCGTGCGTGCCCTCTTTCAATTGCGTACTGAAATTGTCGGCAGCCTGGAACCGTGTCCGGCCCGCATGCACAAACCCTTTCCCTATAGGTTGTTCTGCCGGGAGGGGGGGGGGGGGGCTTACGTTAAACAGCGCACGGCGTGCGTTCGCGTTTCGAAGTCGCTCGCCTCCGAGCGAAGCATAGTCATGGAGGCGCGCTGCGTCGAATGGCCGGCGTATGTGTACTGTGACGAAATGGCGTGTGGCGGCCAGGGCTTTTGTGACTGTGCCATGCTGCGGCTGGGCTGTGAAGGTGCGAACCAATCTTTTCGTGTGTGACTGTGCGAAACTTTGTGCGCCTGCTCGTTTGATGTCGTTGGTAGTATGCTGCGGAGTGTAGTACCGATGTCACACGGTGTACTGCTGATCGCGATCGAGCTCAATCAGTATCAAGTTTATCGATGGTGATCGGCTCCTTTCTGGGGCTTGCGTAAGGGAGTCCATCGCGATCTTTTCCGCAAGCTGCAAAGAGGGAGCCAATCGCAATGACAGATTCACACCGGCGTCACACGGGCACTTTTGATCGTGATCAGGGCCGATTTGCATCGGTTTTTTCATTGTGAACAACAACGGTAGCTGCTACATGGTCTAAACTAATATTTATCGATCTTCGCGCGCGATCTTGGAATCAAATCGCGAGGTGCTTATCGCGATCGTCTCGGTCGATATCGCATGTGATTCGCATCGGCTCCGATCGCGATCGAAAGTGACTGAGTGTCCCCTGTATGACAGAATCGAAAGGAATAGTCTTGCTTAGCGTTCAAGGCGTTTGACCTAAGTAGTACAAAATATAGAAAGAGATAAAAATAGAGAGGAAAGGCAGGGATAGTTTAAAAATGCTGAAGTGCCATTTGATATAAAAAAAGTGATAAACGCTCGTACCTTTCGCCATGCTGCTCGCCCATAGAAATTTCTCAAATAAAGGTTGCTGCGTCATTCTGTTTCACTGTGCTCACCAAAGCTTCTCATATTCCGAGAACCCACTTCCTTATATTCTGCTTGCAGGACGTGGAAGCGAACACGGTGAGATTAAAAGAACACGGCCAAGATGTTCTACTGCTGCAAAAGATACCAGCTGACGCAAGAAACACTAATGGGGCGCATTCGCATTACAAGTGAGCGCACTATTTCTATTTATGATATAATGGTATAAGAATGTACGTAAACACTAGGCATACGGATGCACATAAAAGAACGAGGCAGGCTAGCTACAAAATCATGCAGGGGTGTCACAGTAAAGACAGTTTCGCGCTTCCAATTCTAAACGTGATTCTTTACTCCAGGGGATATCAAAAGTGGGTCCCGCGGAACTTAAGGGTTTCACAGGTTCCCCCTCGGGGTTCCGGGAGCCAATGATAATCTTTCCATGGTTCCGCACTCGCCCACTTAACTCTCTGAAATGGCAATCCTGAGGTGTGATCGATCTATGGGACCACCATGATTCACGCTCGAGTGTCAATAAGCACATCTCGGTGGTTCTACTTTTTGGAGGGGAAATAAAAATAAAAAAGCTCGCCGGGAGAAAGGTTCCTCGGCACTTAATGTAGCTTAGTAGGGTTCGCTGACACCAACGTGCTTGCGAACACCTGCTTTACTCAAATTTTTGCTAGTTTTGTGAGGGCAGGCACTGCTTTTGCCGGTTTTGTGAAGGTTCACAGCAATCACAAACGCTTTGCGAAGTTCTTTTCCAGTTTTCTTGTTTGAAAGGGTCACATTGCACGGACAATAACGGCATTGCCAAAGCTTTGAAATGTCAGTGTAGTTCCGCAATCATCGCAATTAGATAGCATATATACTAAGCGTTGGGTCCCGCTGTGACTTTGCCAAGTCTTCCTCGATGACTCCGAAAAAGATAATGGAGTAAAACAAAGGAAAAACAATCTGCTGGAACTTTGAAGACTAGCTTGTGACTATATATACTGATTGTGGCCTTGAGATTTTTTTTTTCAAATGGAAGCAAACGTTAGAAAACTGCTCATAGCCCGCGAACGCCTTCTGCGTTTAGTAACGTGTTGTCACGAGATCACTGAACGCCTTTGTGAGATAATTTTTCTTACAGGGAAAGAGATATTTCGTTTGCTAAAATAAAAAAGAGAATGTGTCGGCCACAAGCTTCAGACACGCATAGTCGTTGTTCATTCAGACCGAAAATAAATGTTTTTTTTTTTGCTGTGTTTTGTGCTAGGATTATGTACTGGTACAACTTCGTACATCGCATGTCCGATCGCTGAATCAGAGGAAACGAGTCAGGAGTTGACAGGGGTCTCCATGAATATATTTGTATTTACTCCGAAAACATGCCTTCGTGACTTCGTAACGCCTTCGTTACAAAAAGAAAGTTAAGTTTCAGAACGTTAAAATTTCGTCAATTCATTTTATTTTACTATGTGTAGCAGCAACATAATCGTTCACTATTAAACATTTTGTGTGTTCATTGACTGTGCGATTGACGGGATGCTTTGTTTTGTTTCACTCTTATCTTTCACCGTGCTTGACAACCATATCTTGCTGATAAGGTAGATGTAGATGCCTGTTAAATAAATGGCATATCACTCTAGAATGCATAGCATAAATAGAATTCTTCCCATTCCTGCTGCAGTAATCGGGAAGTTAAGGACATCACACGAGTAAATTGGGTATTGCTTGCAGTTAAATGCACGAGAATTCTCCGGTTGGCTAAACGTGTGCTTTATTATGATTCCTTGGAATAGATATATGGTCATGGCCGGCACGCCGCAGAAGATGTTGGAACATTTATTAGAAACTCGAATAGACACAAGAACAGAAGAATCCTCAGGTATGTAAAATCCTACTCACGTTGCTCTTTTCCTGTTAATTTCAAGTATTCTCGAGGTGGCTATGCAACAGTGTGAACGAATGCCGTTTATTTGTACGTAACGATTTCGTTTCACACGTCCCTTTGACCTGCATATACTTTAATTGTTTAATTATGTTCGTTTCAGATACTTTTTAGAAGATTTCCTGCTAACTCACGTCATATTTATGCCAAGTCATCAGCTGTGCCCCGAACTCATGAAGCAATATCCTTTTCATCCATGTATGCAAGAAGTTTCGGAATAGTTTCTTATTAGACGCCATTTTTTGTACGAGCAGGCAGAAAACTCGATAGTGGACGAAACATTTAAAGCCACGCATGCTCATAATTTCTTTGTTTCTTTTTTTTTTGCAACGCGATGAATAGTTTGCGGATTCATGTGTTTTTGTTCTTTCTTACTTTATAGGCCATTACAGCTGTTATATACAATTATATTTCAAGCTACCTTTCTCCCAGGCGCTGGTTGTTTTCAGTATGTTCAACGCCAACAAACTGCGATGACATAAACAGCACATTTACTTTGTGTGAAGATGTCATCGTGCCTTGTCATGGTGCATGGCGTGTTTTGTAAATCTAAAGAGATAAAAGTCTATGGGCTATTCAAATCAATTAAAGTCGGGAACTTTAATGAAGCAGCTAGTCTACCTTGCTGAGTTAACTTAGAGTACTTTTTCTCATCACAGTGAATGGCTGTGTCTGTCATCAGCTTTGGATCTGTGCCCGGATGCAGAATGCTATAGTACCGTTATAACCAGACGGCATATGCGCTGACATTAGCGCCAACTATGACTAGCGTGCCGCGTGCAGCCCAGCAAGGGTAATTCACGAGGAAGAGCGCGTAAGACATCGTATACTTGAAAAATGTTCACGCATAGCAGTTGTAGGACGTTTTCATTGTTTTGTCCTTAACGCTGTCTCCCACCTATCGAATCGATCTTGCGAATTCGAGGCAGGAAAAAGAGTTCATTCTCGCTAACAAAAGACGGGTTGTGCAATTCGCCAACAGCTGGGCGCTCACTGTCCGGGAAGCCTTTTTCGAGGATCCAGTCATCCAGGCTTTTGTAGACGTAAGTACTAAAGCAATCTGTCATATTTAGCTGATTGCGCGTGTTGCCCGGATAAGTGTCGCTTTCACAGGCGCAGTGGGTAAGCGTTACAGTTGATATTTTGAGACACCCAAGCAGTGGTGAGATTCTGTGTTGAACGAGCACAAGATGTTGAGCGTGGATAAACTCAACCTTTGTGCCTTCTGAGAATACAGACGACATTGAAGCGCGGGGCTGTTAATCAAACACAAGCTCTGCTGTTAGATTTGCGGCTTTGTTCCTGTGTTTCCCCGTTGAGCAGCCTTAAATGGCTTTAATAGGCTAAATGTCATAATGTAAGGTATTAAAACAAGCTGAGAGAAACTGCCTTGTCATGCGGAACACGATGTTATCGATTTCAAGGCAAGTTACGCTGCGTAGCGGCTACCAGTTAAGTTTTCTTATAACACAACTTTGAGCGTCGGCTATTGGTGAACATTTCTAACGTTGCTATTTGTCAAACAAGGCGAAGATAGCTGCAGCTGGCAAATGTATATCGCTATACTGCGCGGGATATTTCATAGGATTATTCATTAGCATCATTGTGGTCATCATTGTAATCATGCTGTGTCCTGTTTACGACGAATACCTGCCCCAATGATCTCATTTAACCCTGTGTTGCGTTAACAGAGTGCATTTTATGCGATTTTCAAAAATCGAATTCGGATCGCTCAACATTTCAATAACCTTGTAACTGATGATAACTGATGGTTACCTCAGCCTAGTGCTCAAGATGCTCAACTGTTGGCCCTTAGGCGGTGGGATCGTCCCAAAGGTTGCAATGTCGCAATTCGACCGTAGCGCCCGCATTTCGATGGAGATAAAATTCTGGAGGCCCGTGCGCTTAGATTGTGGTGCTGGTTCGAGAATCCCGGGATGTCGATGTTTCCTGAGTCCTGCACTTCCCTCATAAACGTACCGTGATTCTAGGGCTCAAAGCCTGGCACGCGATATTTTCATAAGTGATGATGACTGTCCCACTGCACGCTTTCTTTATTGCGGGTTGCGTTTACGCGGCGAACCAAGTGGCAGAAGCATGCTCGAGTGCGGGACGTGTATTGTCTTTCCTTTTTAGGAACTCCTAAAGGCGGTCAAAGAGGACAGCACCAAGTACGCAGGCTGCCTGCAGGAGGAGCTCAGGACAATGACGAGGATCATGGACTTGCAGGAAAAGTAAGAGGAGTTGACGTCGCTGTAGAGTAGTACCGCACTTTCTTTCTCTGTCTCTCTTTCCTTCTCCTTTGCTCGCTATTCTACCGCACATGGTATGCCCTGTCACCAAAATGAGCTATTAAAAACACCTTAATTGGTCGCATTAAGCTGTATTGAACAGGTTTAGATTTGTGCACTATATACATGTTTGATTTCGCCACAAATCTTGCATACCCACAAGTGGGGGAAAGTAAGCAGATATAAAAAGTTAACTGAATCTCAAGTATTCAGTGAGCTTCAGTAAGTTCACGTCTCCGTACGTGAACTTTAAACGAAAAGATAACTTTCACTTTCGCTCATCCGCAGCACCTATAGAAACACCTAACTACGTAACCCAAGTAATATTGGTCATTCTAAACTCGTAAAAAAAGTCCTAATAAACGATTTTTGTGACAACGCTATAATGCTACCCTCCCTTCCGCTTTCCTTAGCCTTCATAAGTAAGCATTCATCCTGGGAAAATGATATCGTATTTTACAAAACGTTGACTCGCATAGGTCCATCACAAGTGTTCCAAGAAGTACTTCTCAAGTTTCCGTGCATTACTTTTCATATACGTGCTATTGAGTTTGATGTGTAGTATTGTGACGGGGACAATCGTGAACACGGCTTGCGGAGGGGCTACACGCGACAGGTATGCTACTCGTGCAATTATAACTTTTAATAAACAATAGGACACTCTGTACCGCAGCGACTTTTTCGAGTGCACGCTGATCTTATCACGCGTACAGGTGGCGGGAATGGCGTCAGGTGGCGGGAACGGCGTCAGGTGGCGTAAATTATGTATCGTTTATCTAGTCTCAGAGTAAGATTTTCTCGTTTTTGTAATGGTTAACATTTTCGGCACTTCAGAAGCCATCCTTTATTACCCGCCCGTCGTTGCAGACTTCCTTTAGTTTCAGCGGTAAGGCCACCCACTCACATAGTTCTATGGCGGACGCGATAAGAGGATTGTTGCGCATCTAAAAGAGATGCAGAGTAGCTGAGGTAATACACAAGCCTCAACATCTCCACAGCAAGACAGTTGCAACAGAACAGAGCACAACAAAACGGATACTCGAACCCTTCCTCGTCACTGATGATACGCTATGCAAAGGCTGATAACCGGAACCACGCGCTGATATCTTCCCGCCAGCAAACCAACTCGGTGGGAAGATATCTGCGGGCTCAGTAAATAATCTGTCACAACACCATGGCCTCCCGCGTTGAAGAAACTCTCTCGCGTTCACACCCCTCCACCCCCCCCTCTCGCCCTCCGGTTTTGGGAAGCGCTTCTCTTATGCGTCCCACTGATTGATGCGAGGAGTCGTGTGTCGTGAATTCACGAGAATTGTCTTATCAATAGTGTAAATTTGCGATAACAAAATGCGCCTGCAGACGAAGACATGCTCCTACGATTTGGTTTCGCTTGCAGATCGTGCTTGAAGCCTCCTTTTCGCCAACTCTGAAAAAAAAAAGCAACCAGAACTATAAATTAGATGATATTATTGTTTTAAAGAAACAAACTATATAGTAAGCTTGCATCAGGTTCTGCAGTTGCCGAAGCTATGTCACTGTAACATTTTTTATGCTTCCCGTTAAGACAGTTTCCAAGTTGGGACGTCGTTATGGCTTGCTCATATTTAAGTATATGTATATCGAGCAGTGGACTGATATTTAGATTTCTCGCCAATTCGTTTACATTCTAATAGTAATATCCTGGAATGGTTCCCTGCTCTTCCAAAGTATTTTACGAAGCGCCCTAAATTGTTAAACTTTTTTTTTCTAAACACATTCCAGTATCATGTTTCACAGGTATTTACGAGAAGTGCTCTATAATTATTTGTAGGTGGCCTAGTCGCGTAATGAAGCGATCCTGTTCTGCTCTTTTCTTACTGTTTACTTGCTATTTCTGCGAAGGACAAAGCGTTTGTAATTGCAGCACCATCGTGATCGCACTTTGGAACACATATATGTCTGGTCTCCCTGCAATGAATGCAAGCGCGAGGAAGCAATCTTTCGTACGATCAGCGACGCCTCTGGACATTTTGCATCGTGTCGTCTCCTACACCTCGCTTCAGCGCTACACGGCCTTGTGGGCGTGAGCAGCTTAGGAAATGACAAAAGTCCACGTGTCCGTGCGTCAGTGAGACTGCGATGGCCTGCTTTGATTTTTAATGCGATAGCAATTATATGACAGTCTCGGCTGGTTTTTGCCGTCACAGCCGTCATTCAAGTATATATATATATATATATATATATATATATATATATATATATATATATATATATATATATATATATATATATATATATATATATATATATATATATATATATATAAGATGTGGCGCCAGCTCGCCCGTGCGTTCTCCTCGGAAGAGCAACAACGCCAGAAAGAAACCCGTAGCACCTCTCTTCCGGATCCCAGCTATGCCCCAGGGTCTCTTGTGTGGCTTGCCATCTCATAACAAACACCGGGACTCTCCTCGAAACTTGTCCCCCGGTACGAGGGGCCTTACACCGTTTTGGAGAAAACCTCTCCAGTCAATTTCCTAATTGAGCCAGTTTCGCGATCGGACGACATGCGCCGGCGTGCACGCGACATCGTCCATGTTTCCCGACTGAAACCGTACCATGAGCCTTTGCCTGAAACTTCTTAAGTCGCCAGGATGGCTCCTTTTTCAGTGGGGGCGATTGTGAAGAAGAAGATGTGCCTGCAGCGAGCAGCATCGCCAACGCCCGGCTCTCTCGGCTCGTGCTTCGGTCCGTTGCTGTGCCGATCGCTGGACGCTTCTTCACGCTGTCTCGTCGCTGTTTTTAACGGCTAATAAACCTCCTCACAATATATATATATATATATATATATATATATATATATATATATATATATATATATATATATATATATATATATATATATATATATATATATATATATATAGTGGGAGTAATAATTCAATAGGCCAGTTAGTCTTCGTGAAGGTATGGGATATGGCACAACGGGAACGGGAGCGTTGTCAACAAGGATAAATATATTTATTTCCCAACAGTTTCGGGAGGGGTCCTCCCTTCATCAGGGGATGAGTTACTCATCCCCTGATGAAGGGACCCCTCCCGAAACTGTTAGGAAATAAATATATTTATCCTTGTTGACAACGCTCCCGTTGTGCCATATCCCATATATATATATATATATATATATATATATATATATGTATATATATATATATATATATATATATATATATATATATATATATATATATATATATATATTATGAGACCACGTCCGGTACGGCAGCAACCAGGTTATCCTTTTCTAATCCAGGCGCACGAGCCAGAGAGCCAGCCCGCGTGACATATGATGATGATCACTACAATGGTTTGGTCATGCAGATGAAGATGAAGTACATAGTCAGCGCTCACACTATTTTCCCCCCTTCGCGAAAGAGGGCAGCAAGTTAGAAAGGGTTGGGACGCCGAATATATCGTTTCAGTCGAGAGACGTGGGCGATCTCGGTGTGGCGGCGACGACGATCAGAAGCCGCGTTGACAGGAGCAACGCGATAGTTGACTTCAGATGTTCGTTCCAGGACGGTGTATGGACCGAGATACCGGTGAAGGAATTTTTCGCAGAGCCCAGGTACACGAACAGGTGTCCACAAAAGGACTTCGTCGCCTGGGCGGAACACAACAACTCGACGCTTCGCATCAATGTCGATTTTTCTCTTGTCCTGAATGGTCGCAGTGTTGGCGCGGGCGATTTCACGGCAGCGGGCGACGCGAGCGGCGAACTCTTCCGGGAGAGATGAAGATGGATTGGAAGATGTGGACAAAAAGGTGGTGTCCAGAACAAAAGTCGGTACACGGCCATACACGAGAAAAAAAGGGCTAAAATTCGTTGTACGCTGTATGGCAGTGTTATATGCGAACGTGACAAAAGGAAGTATTGTGTCCCAGTTTTTGTGATCTGGTTGCACGTACATAGAGATCATGTCGGACAAAGTTCGGTGAAAACGCTCAGTCAGACCATTAGTTTCTGGGTGATACGCTGATGTGGTCTTGTGGATGGTGTTAGAGGCCTTTAAGACTTCAGCAAGGACATGTGAAAGAAATGTCTTGCCACGGTCACTAAGGAGCACACGCGGTGCGCCATGTCGTAAAATAATGGCGCGAAGGAAAAAATCGGCTACTTCAGAGGTAGCACCAGATGAAAGAGCTGCCGTCTCCGCGTAGCGAGTAAGGTGGTCTACGGCAGTAACAATCCAGCGGTGACCGGCTTGCGTAAGCGGAAGAGGTCCGTATAAGTCTATGCCCACAAATTCAAAGGGAGTAGACGGGCACGGCAGTGGTTGCAGTGGCCCCGCGGGAAGAGACGTGGTACGTTTTCGGTGCTGGCATGACGCGCAGGAAGCGACGTACTTGGCGACAGAAGTGGAGAGGCCAGGCCAAAAGCAGCGAGTCCTGAGGCGGTCGTAGGTCTTGTGGAACCCTAAGTGGCCAGCTGTCGCATCGTCATGAAACGCTTGTAGAACTTCGAGACGAAGTGAGCGAGGAATGACGGGAACCCATTGGTTACCGAGAGGATGGTAAATTTGCCGACATAATGTTCCCTCTTGAAGCTTGAAACGGGCAAGTTGTCGTCTTAGGCGGCTGTTTGGAGCACGCGATAAGCCAGTGAGCCGATCGATGATTGTGCGGCAGTAGGTATCGGCATGTTGGAGCGAGGCGAGATCTGTGGACGAAAGAAGGTCCGCCGAGGCAACTAACTGTTTCGAAGGAGCAGCCGTCTGTTTGGTCACTTTGGCAGGCGGTGACGAACAGATGGAAGGTGACACTTCGGCGCTTTGCGAGAGCGGGCAACGGGACAAAGCGTCGGCATCTTGGTGCTCTCGGCCCGACCTATATGTGACGCTGTAGTCATACTCTTGCAATGGTAGTACCCAACGGCCAAGGCGTCCCGACAAATTTTTGAGAGA